ATCCCTTTCAGTAATCACCCTCTCCCCATAGTTTATATATATATATTTTGTTTGTTTATTTGTGGTTTTTTTTTCCTGCCCCTCCCCCCTCACTGAGTGCGAAGGCCGCTGCCTCCTCTCCTTGCAGCCACGTGCTGGGTCCTTGTGCTGAGAACTCCAGAGCTGGGCGCAGTGCTCCAGGCGGGGTCTCACCACAGGGGAGCAGAGGGGCAGAACCACCTCCCTTGACCTGCTGGCCCCACTTCTTTCGGTGCAGCCCAGGATAGGGTTGGCTTTCTGGGCTTCAAGCACACGGTATTGGCTCACACCCAGCTTTTCATCCACCAGCAACCCCAAGCCCTTCTCTGGAGGGCTGTTCTCAATTCTATCATTCCCCAGCCCATACCAACAGCAACAATTGCCTGACCCTGCTGTGGTTCCTTGCACTTGGCCTTATTGAACTCCATGAGGTTCACCACAGGCCCGCTTCTCAAGCTTGTACAAGTCCCTCTGGCTGGCATCCCCTCCCTCAGGCACGTCACCACACCACTCAGGTTGGTGTTCTCTGCAAGCTTGCTGAGGGTGCGCTCAATCCTTGTTACTGTCATTGATTAAGATACTCAACAGCACTTGAGGGACACTACTCAATGCCCTAGGCCCCTGCAATGTGAGTGCTGGTGAAAAAACACCTTGGTGTTCTCCACAGCTTCTTGTGGCAACAGAGAAGCTGAGAACAGTCACATTACTGGCTCCTGGAGAGGAAGTGCAGACTGGTACAAGCGACCCACCAGCTGCAGCAAAGCACCCTTAGCCATCACTTCTGGTTCCTGTCACACTGATGAACCAGTGACCACATGTGTTTGACACAGGGATTAAAGTCATTCATTTTAAAAGCAAAACTTAAGACTTGTGGCCCCAACACCCAACAACCTTCCTTTGCTCTATTCATTTTTCCTTAAGATCACAGGAAAATTGCTGCAGCTGCTATATGACAACAGAAACACCTTCTCAAAAATCTATTTTCCTGCCTCTCTTAGGCTATATATAAGTAACTCAGGTGACCTCTGTAACTTCTATTGTATTAAAACCAAGCAAATCTGTATTTGAGACATCAGGTTCATTGAAGTTTACCAACTGAAAACTGATGCTAAACATCCAGAGAGGTTTAGACAAACACAAGGCATTAACTACAATTAGTTTATTGAAAACCACTGTACCATAATTCATAATTCAGACTGTTATTTGCAGAGTGTAAGAAGCTACCAGAAATGCAACAAGAAGCGGTCGGTCGCTAAAGGAAGATCCCTTCCAGTCTTTGCTAGCACTCCCCACTTCCTAGTCGAACCAGGACAGCCGTAGGTGTGCAGGGGAAGGCTAACACAGCACAAAGGTGTGGTGTGTGATCTCAGAGCCATGGTATTGAATGCTTAAGTTCAATATTCTACTGAACATCAGCTACTCCGAATGAAAACAAGCAGTCTAGTTCAGAGCTATCAAAAATAGCCAAGCTTTAAGAAACTAATTTGATATAGGTATTTGTTGTTTGCACTGTGTATTCTGTTCAAAGCATTCCTGTCCTACACAAAGACTGAAAGATAGGCAAAATGCTTATCTAGTAAAAGTGATAAGGTATTCTGGGTAGGCTTGAATGTCATTAAAGATGATGAACATGGATGGCCGGTTCACATTGTCGGTCGAACTATCGAACAGATCTACAGAGTTACTAGCGCTTTTTGCCGCTGGAGTAATGGATCCTCTTGTCCCCTGAGAATATTCTCCAACAAGGACTCGAGCCAAGTACATGTACTTCTTCCCATTCACATCAGGTTTAGAGTAAATATCGCTGGCAGAATAGCTGGCGTCAACAGCAAAGTATGATCCGTTTCCAAAGTTTGCAGCTGTAGTCAGAAAAAGAAGCGTCTGTGAGTGTTTGGTTAGCAGCAAGCACGTATCTGCCCTCTTCGGACCTGTGAATCTCTTGGCAATTTTGCTTTTTATTTCCAAGCGCGAGATATAACAGAACAAATAATTTGCACACAAGGCAGAACTATACACAAGGCATCACTAATCAGGCTGAGCCCTGCTCAGGAAAACAAGGGTTGTTGTGAAGTTCACGTTACCGTGCATTCCAGCGTAGCTCCGGTTAAATCCGTGGTTGTTAATTAAGGTTAACGACTCCTTACTTGTCCCATGAAAGAGAAGCTTCTCATTATTCCTGTTGCCATTTTTGTTATCCATTTCACGCTTTTTTATTTGGTAGGCCTTCCAAAAATATGGGTTCTGAACTCTTTCAATCTGCAAAGTTTGGAAGCAAGACAGAAAGAGAGATCGTAGGCTGCTGTCATGAAAACCATTAGTGTAGTGTATCAACAACTCAATCTGCTTCCAACATTCCCCTTCTAGCTCCAAGGCATGTTTACCAGATGATGACATAAATCAGTTAAATCATGTCAAACTTTGGCACCACAGATAGCAGACCCCAGCCCAAAATGTGACAGAAACACTCCAGGGGAAACAATAAAGGATTCTGGACAGAGGTGACACCTGCCTGCAAAGCACACGTGACTTAAAGCGAGCAAATGCCATGCTCCACGGTAGCAAAAACAACAGAAAGAAAGAGCACTCCCTTGGTACTGCAGAGGAAGCCACTGCTTTATTGTTCAAATTACCTCAACTGCAGCATCAAACTAGTGCTGATTAAAGTTAGTGACAGCCATAAAGGCTTGTCCAACTTCAGAAATCCCAGTGGAATTTATCTTTCCATTGTTACTAGTACTCTTCATCACTTGCTATCAAAGCATTTATGCTCAGACACGATGACCTGCTTTTACCTTTTCAATTTTTAGTGACTGACAAGTCTTCAGAAACTTTTCTTGCACATCTCTGTATTCTCTTGTTTCTGGTTTTAGTTCCACTAGTTTGAGTCGCTGGTTCTCCATATCATCCCATGTTGCAGGGAGCACTGTAGACTCCTGATCTGCAGAAGAGATGTAACCAATCACATTTACCCAAATTCTCTGTTTAAAATGAAATAGGCCCTGCTACAAACCCTTCTAAATGCCCATACATCCAGCTTATCACTAGTGCCTACTGGTCTCTCTCAGCAGAGTGTATTCCATTGGTCTTTTTCTAAAAGATTAGGGCAATGTAGTTGCTAGTTTGCCACTGCACTGGCAACCGATGCACCTGAACTGGTAGTTCCTGGCCAAATCTGCTCTTCCCAGCTGAAGAGGGATCCTTTGCAGTATCTTTTACTGGTAGCCTTTGCTGCAGATGATGTTCTCAAGGACATGGAGCAAATGCAGATTTACCAAGCAGTTAATTCTCACCAGCTAGGAGACTAGGAACAAAGCATTTGAACAAGGAAGGTTCTAAATTTAAAGTTCAAGAATATACTCCCTACCTGGAAAGCAGTCTTCCCTTTCTTACCTTATTTCGTACTGGCAAATAGTAACACTGACTGATGCATACGCTACAGACATCCAGCATTATAGGATTCCTCACTGAGATGACATTTTTTGTAAAAGAATAAAAGATACAATTCTGTAAATAAGGGCAGGATGGAACTGTAACTAAGGCACAGTTACTTAAACCTGTCCACTTTCAGGTGTTATGTGGGCAAAAAAGGTTGTTGCCATTAAGATATAAAACGTGCCCCTGCAAAACAAGTCACAACAGGGCAAAGAAAAATAGTACACTCAGAAAGTACTGCATCGCTGAGTAAGAAAAAGGTAGCTCCTTATGTTGTGACAGACCAGAAGTCAACGGAAGAGGGTACACCTCAAGAATAGAAATGAGCTGGGATCCAAATGACAACTGCTACAAACATCTAATTACTGCTAGTAAGCCTGTTAAGAACCTCAGAACGTGTTACCTACCTTTCCAAAGACTTTATATAACTGCAGGATTCTCTTGTTTTCGTTTCCAAATGCAGTTCCTTCCTACATTCTCCAGAAATGGATCTGCACAAAGCTTCTAACAATGTTTTGCATATTCTTACCATTTCTTGCTTTTACTAGGCTGGATCAAACCTGGGAACGTGGGAATGTCAGTCTCGGGATGCTTTTACCTACCTTCAGATTTATCAATGCGTAGGAGGGATTTACATTTGCCTTGGTCATCCAGAGCACATCGAGCTTCCAAATTCACGGTGTATGTTTTCTCAGCAATGGTGACCGGAATAGATTTCCGCTTTTCCATGAAAGCATTTTCCAAGAGCATATTTGTGCGACTGTCAAATGGCACGTAGGAATCCTTTTTAAAATATTTCCACTCAATTAAGTTTTGCAGAAGTTCTGCCCTGATCTCGTCCTGCTTAGCAGCTTTTACCCTGTGGATCATTTCTTGGACAGTTGAGTAAGCCATCCAGACATCTTTCTCAATGCCTGAAATTCGAACAGAGTTATTCCCCAAACGAAGAGCAATCTTTAATTTCTTTTGTAGGTTCTGCAGCTCCTCATTCTCTGCTTCACCAAAATGAATGATTGACTCATCTGTGATTTCTGTTTCAAACTGTTCCTTTAAAATTGCACTTTTCAACCAGTTTTCAGCTTCTTCCACTTTCTTTTTGTTTTCACCACAAATCTGCACAACAGCCAGGTCAATTTTCTTTTCCAAAATTGCTTTGGTTTTTTCCTTTGGAGAACTTTTTTTCTCAGAGCTCCAGAATGCTACATTGAAATACACAAATGTAATATAAATGTAATATAAAACATTATCAGCTGCTGCTACACAGATTGATCTATAACCTGTATTTAGGTGATATCTACTTACATGTTAACTTGGAAAGGAATGATTTGGCTGTTTTAGCAAAACCTTCTTTCTTCTGCATGCTTCTATGGAACACACTCAGCAGATGTGGCTGGAAGATGACAACTTTAACAGTTTTCACAGATGGAGCAGAGTTACTTCTAGCAAAGTCAGTTACTGCATCTACCATGTCATCAGCTACTACAGCTGGATCACGGCCTGCCTCACCTGAAACAAGTTGTAAAGATTTTGCCTTTAAAAAGCATTAATAACTGCTACAAATGGCTAAAACATCTTTAAAAGAACAATTGTGACCATACCTACAATCACTTGGATCATAAACAGGTCAGAAATAACTTCAGGCTGGCAATTAGCAAAGGTTTCTGTTTATCAGGAAAAGGAGGTTCAAGCAAGGGAAAAACTGAAGTTTACTTTGTTGACATGCCAGCTGATCAGGTTATGATGCAGATGATATGGCTTGGTTACCTAACTGGCCACAGGCCTGATGCTTATTGGCCCAGAAGCATTTTGGGCAACTCTGCTCAAAAAGCAAGTCTAGTTTTACTCATATAAGAGGTCCCTGCATACATGGGGCCCAGTTTGGATTCTCTGACTCAAGGGATTTCTCCTGAACTAATCAAGAATAACAAGAGAAGAAAAAATGACAGTCTGGCCTTTTTGATGGGTTCCAAATCCATCCCTATCAGCACTACTTGTGCAGCTGATAGCCAGAGCTCCATCATCTACTGGTTTCAGTAATGGAGAAGTAGCTCCCTGGATATTGTCCGATGAGCTGCCCACATGTACCAGGCTGCTGTGACAAAATAGTCATGGCTCTCCAGGAAGTACAGAGATACCTGTGAATCCCTGTTAGCAAGGAAGCGTTGGCTCTGGAGCACTCAAACTCTTTACATACTAGCTGACTGCAAGGAGCAAAGATTTCTAGGACTTTTTGAGCTTCTAATAACAATCTTAAAGTCTACAGTTTCTGAATGTATTTTCACCAAAGAATAACCTCTCTAGACAAACTCATTGCCTGACCCCTGAGACCGGCACTGACCAGATTTCAAATGGAGACACAGACCATACAGACCTGTTCCAATTGCTGGGAAGACAACAGAGGTGTACTGCTGTGATTCACATTCCTGAAGCACTTTGGAGACTATCTCCTTGATATCATCTTGGGCAACAAAATGAATTATTTTTTTGCACGGCAGGTCCCCTGCTTGGGTCGTGATATAGCTCTGATTCATTTGCAAGGCTGAAACGTAAGTAGGAGAATGTAATCAATGTCTGCAAATAAATTCCTTCTCTGAGGCAGAAACCCAGCTTCACTACTTTTCCCTCTTGGTCACATGGAGGATGTGATAGTGGGTTGCCAGTTAAGCCAACAGCAAACACTCTCACTCGGGAATGACAGAAGGAGGAGGAGTTGCAGGTAGACAGTTGTTTCCAGGGAGGTATGGCTTCTCTACTGACATCTCTGCCAGTGTCATCCCTTGCTCATGGCTCTGTTCAGTGTAGACTCAACATGTTCTTATCATGGGACGATTTATTTCACTGTGTCCTGGTTTCAGCTGGGACAGAGTTAATTTTCTGCCTAGTAGCTGATGCAGTGCTGTGTTTTTGATTTAACGTGAGAATAATGTTGATAACACACTGATGTTTTAGTTGTTCCTAAGTAGCACTTATTCTAAGTTGAGGATTTTTCAGCTTCCCCCGTTTTGCTAGCCTGCAGGTGCAGCAGAAGTTGGGAGGCAGCATGGCCAGGGCAGCTGACCCAAATCAGCCCAAGGGATACTCCCCACCAGGGAACATCATGCTCAGCAAATAGACTGGGGGTAGCTGAATCACTGCTTGGGCATCAGTCAGCAGATGGTAAGCAACTGTGCATCACTTCTCTTCCTTTGGTTTTATTTATCTCCCTTTTTGCTATATTCATGTTAATTACAGTATTTATTATATTTTATTTTAGTTATTAAGCTGTTCTTACCTCAACCCACAAGTTTTGCTTCCCCTACCCCCCCAATTCTCCTTCCCATCCCACTGGGGAGGAGTGAATGAGCAGCTGCGTGGTGCTGAGTTGCTGGCTGGGGTTAAACCACAACAGAATAAGACGATGCAATGACAAAGAGATTTAGTTCTTTTCATATGCTTAGAAGTCTTCTTTTCTTGAAGATTTCTCTTTTCCTTCCCTCATTAGACATTTTACAAATATCACATTAACTGATTCAAAACCAGCTGATGTAACACAGTGCACAACAGAGATGGTTGTACAGTAAGCACCAAGAAAGTGTTCCAGCAGATTCCCTGCCACACAGGAACCCCATTAGAAAGGAGGTCAGAAATGTTCCACCATACCTAGTTGAGCACATTCATCTTCGACTGCTTTTCCAGCCCCTTTCAGAATTGCTCTAGAAACACCTTAAATGAGAAGAGGTATATGAATCCACTGTTACTGCTGTCAAAGTCCCATCTGAGGCAGAACCCTGTACCACAATCTCTAAAATATCTCATCCCGGTAACAGGAAAAGTTACACTTGAAAAGCACTACTGCCTAAGTTCTAGGCTTATGATTTTCAACTCAAAAGTTATATCTAAAATATGTAACAAGTTTCACTGAAGTCAAAACCTCATTGAGATTTGTCTTCTCCTTTAGTTTGAGAGATGTCCTATAAAGAGATTCTATTAAAAATAATTAATAGTTTCAATTTCTGTAAAAAACTTAAATGTGCCAGCCTGTGACTCAGATTAAGAAGATAAAGGTTTCAGACACTTCCTAATTGAACCTTTGTACCCTAAGAAGCAAAACAGAAACCACACAGTGAAACAAAAGGGTTTGAAGCACTGAAAAAAAAAAACACTTCCTACTCTCCTTATCGAGCCCTTCCAACCACATGTACTGTTTTCATACACAATGCCAACTAAAATACCTGTTTTGAGCCTGAAGCTTTGGTTTGTTATGTTCACAATGACATCTGCCTCTTCCTTGGTAATATCACCTTCTGCCACCCGAAATACAATGGAACCAACTGTCATTTCATGTACGTTCTGTGCTGGCGTTGAAGAGGTAGCAGAGGAAGCTGCAGGAAAGAAACACAGACCCTGAGCAGAAGGGAGCAATGAGGTAAGAGACAAGGGACTTGTTCATGGGTACTACACCTACAGAGACCACGGTTTGGCTCCAGACTCAGCGTGTGAGGAGGATTGCCTGCCATGTTAACTGAAAATCATTTCCTCTCACAGGAGTCTTTGATCAGCCTTCACCTATTCCCATCATTGCTATGCGTGCAATGAATAGGTAGGTGCAAACACCTACTTGGTGACATTTTAGTGTATAAGCCTTTGTGAAACTCCAGGGTAAGAGAGCAGCAAACCTTCCAAGTCCCACTCCCTCCTCCGTCTCACAGTTTTCAGGCAGGTTCTCTCCTGCATGACAGGAACTTTTTACCTATGTGTTATTTGTGAAAATGAGTTACACGTTAGAAACTTGTTGCGTTTTCTACACTTTGCAGTTCCACCGGGCTGGATAACATCAAAGATGTTTCAGTTTGAACATGTGAGAGGTTTAAGAGCATTCCAAGGAGACCACTTTAAGACATAATCAGGAACCCACCTGCCTTCCCAGGGCATGGGAAGACACTGACCCATTCACACACAGTCTAATCAAGTACTGCAGCAATAAAAGTCCTGCTTGTGCCCTCGGTACATCGTAGCTTCTGCTGTCCCCATTTGTAGGGGCACTATCCAGGTAATGAACCACAGGTACCTTTCTTTCTTCCCCCCCCAAACACCATTTCAGACATTACAGACAGTCTAAAATTACTACATGCTGCCTTTACAGCAGCCACCTGGACTGTTACCTGGACTTTGGGAACAACATGCTCACCAGATATACACCTAAACATCCATAACAAATGCATTCCTTGGAACATTTAAAAGAATTTTTAAAAAGCACTAGGCACACAACTTCTGTGAAGCAAGCTTACCTGTGCTTTGGCTAGCTTCACCTCCAGAAGTCTTCTGCACTTTAACACCTACAGTATTTCCACACCTGCTCTCAAATTCAACGGAAAATTCCTAGAGAGGGAAATTACAATCAATCTTTGTAAAAATATCTAGATTATGCAGTAGAAATAAGTGTTTTAGAAGTTAAAATACATTTAGAAAGGGCTTAATGCAGACTACTTCATACCGCGTGCCTGCTGATGGAAAGCACTTCTTTTTCCAAGAGTGATGGTATCTATGCAGGAGTTGCAGCAAATTTAATCTGCAGGCAAGTCCTATGTACTGAAGAATTAGGTGAGTTCAAGAGTAATTACACCTTTGTCTGTGTTATTGCCAGGGAGCAGAAAAGGACAGGAAGGGTGCAGGGCAGTACAGGGCAGGCAAGAGAATTTTCAGTACTGACAAGAGAGATTGTCAGTAAACTTTTTCTTTAGTAAAAAAACAAGCACCTTGCGGATTCCTTGGAGATTATCAGATAGTCAAAGTATCATGAGATACGTTGTCCTGGCTTTGGCTGGGATAGGTAATTTTCCTTCTTAGTAGCTAGAACAGTGCTGTGGTTTGGATTCAGTATGGGATCTGGCATGAGAAGAATGCTGATAATATACTGATACTTTTACTTGTTGCTAGGAACACAAGGACTTTTTGGCTCCCCATGCGTTGCTGACGTGCAGGTGCAGCAGAAGCTGGGAGGGAGCATGGCCAGGGCAGCTGACCCGAACCAGGCAGAGGGATACTCCGCACCAGAGAACATCATGCTCAGTATATAGACTGGGGGGGAGTTGGCTGGGGGCAGATTGTTGCTCAGGCATTGGTCAGTGAGGGGTAAGCAACTGCATCACTTCCCTTCCTTGGGTTTCATTTCTCTTTTTCCTATATTCATTTTCTTTACTATTACAATATTTTATTTTAGTTATTAAACTTATCTCAACCCACAAAAGGGTTTGGCTGGTTATTTTTGATTTGTGAAGCAGGTGGGAGGAGTGAGTGAGCAGCTGCATGGTGCTTAGTTGCTCACTGTGATTTAATCTCAACACAGACCCAAATAAATCAGCATATGACAGAGACAGAAAAATGTGGTAACTCACCTGGATATTAGTTGTGTCTTTTGGATGCAACAGAAAGTGGACTTCTTCAAGAGAACATACTCTATTTTTACTGCTGAATTCAAACACCTTTTTGAACAGTAATTTAGCAACAACAGATCTGGGGAATCCTAAATTCCCCGTCCCAATCGCTGGGAAAGTAATTGACTTTAAAGACAGTTCCTCAGCAATCTCCAGACATTTTGTGATGATGTCACCCAAGACCTGCAAAGCACAATCATTTTTTCAATTACTGAAAGTAGGTTTGGTTTTTTTTTCAGTATGTGCAATATAGCATTTGCCCTTTTAGCTATCTCTTGTTATTAGAATACAACTGCATACACCACAAGGAATAGATTAGTCAACAAGGAATCAGCCACACAGTTAAAAGAGAACAGGCCAAACTCTCTTGTACTCTAAAACACTGTCCTGTGTTTTCAAAGGAAAAGTGGCATCAAACCCACTTTTATTTCAGGCAAATAAAAACCCCTGTACCTTTGAAGATGCGTGTTTCTGGGACCATGCAGGTACGACAGCATGAAGCACAATGCTGCAAGCTAGATTGCAACCTTCTGTTTTCAACACAGAGCCCTCCTCAGGTGTTTGTTTGAGGCCTTCTTCTTTTAAGCTCATCTGCAGCATAGGACCTGCCTTGCTCAGCAAAGCTTTAGAGAGCGGCCCTTTACCAAGCTGGAGATCTTTGGCAACACTGATGACAACAATATCTGTCTGAAAAACACAAAAGTGAGAACTCTAGATTAAGGATCAAATTCACATTTCCCACCAGTTAATCAAATACAGCCTGCCTACTGATTTACAAAGTAAGTTTTTGGGACAGAAATCTGAGACTGAAAAAAGGCTTGGAATAAACCAGAAATGATGATCAATTCTAACACCATTTGCCTGCCCAAAGCAGCACAAAAGCCAGGTTAACAGTGAAATTCATTTCGGCCGGATAGGAGAAAGTTAAAAATCTGCATTCTGTCTACTCATTCTAGCTCCATTTGAAAAACATTGATGTAAGTTAGTTCTCCGAGAGAAGCCTGCAGACCAAAAACCTGTGTTCACTGAGGTAAGCAGGACCTCCCATGTGTGGCTGGTCTAGAGCAAAAGGAGAAGCTGAAGACAAACAAGACTGGAGGAAAGCAAAGGAAAAGTGAGAGAAGCAGTATCTTGAAGAGAAATACAATGGGCTGTGAATGTTGTGTCAGACACTATACTCAGCTCCTCAGGAAGGACATCTATACACATTTTAACCTACATACTGCCCTGGCCATCTAGAGGAGCTGCAGCCACAGACTGTGAGAGGCATCCACTCCTGAAAGGATTTGCTGGCCACTACAGAAAAGGTTCTGAAAGGAGCTGCTTCCAGTATTGGTGATCCCAGTAAAGTAGCCATCAGCCAGCTAACAGCAACTCAGCACCAGAGCTGACTGGAAAGCAACTGCTGACGCTGGTTCTCCACAGGAACTGGAGGAGCAACTGCCTGTTTCGTGCCAGCGTTCACCAGTGCCATAACGAATGACGGTTCCCCAGATCTGTACGCTACGGATGCAAAGAGAACCAGACTGGCTGTGGGCCCAGGGCTCAGACGTGCACGTCTCTGCTGCCTCAGGACCACCGTGGACCTGGGAGCAGCCCAGCCACTCTCACACTGACCAACACTGAGCACCCTCTTTCACTTCTGTGCTAGTACCCTGCATTTGTGTAATGGGGATTTCTGGGAAGGTCAATGCGGCAGCACTGGTGGCTCCTGCCCAGCAAGGTAGGGTCAGTGGGGTCTGAGCCCAGAAACACTCCTGCTGGCCCTGTGTACCACGGGAGTCCGTGCGCCTCCGTGTCAGCCGATGGCCACACGCAGCAGAGCACAGCCATCCACACCCGTCATGCAAGACAGTCATCTAACAGCACTCAGCAGCAACAGCCAGCCTCACAAACCTAGCAAACAGGTCACCTTGCCAATTACAGATGATGGTCTAAGGTTGGTAATTTTTTGGTTTGTGTTTGTTTTTCTAGGAAAAAAACCCAAACCCACACTTGATACTTTAAAAGCAGATAATTTACAATACTTACTGTAGCATCTTCAATGCTCCCTTTTCTCAGCATGATGTCAAGGCCTTCCTTAGTTGTTACCACTGACAAGTTCTTGCTATTGTGAGAAATTTTGCTTCTCTTACGCTGAAGTGACCTGTAGGAAGGTGAACAATCTGAAAACACCTCTTGCAGTGCCTTGCTGAAAGCCTGAACGTTATTCTGTGCAACATCCACCAGATGAACCTCCTTCAAGCTGCTATCCCCCGTGGATTCTTCCAAGGTCTCCTTGATGGAAGACACAATCGAATATGTACACAGTTCCAGAGGGAAGCCAAAAATCCCTCCGCTTACAGCGGGCAAAGCTATGGAACCATGATTAAATGTTTCTGCTAGCTGTAGACATTTCTTCACTGTCTTTCTTAACAAGAACACGCACTTTTCTGCTTCATCCTTCCTCCACCTGGGCCCGACAGCATGAATGACATTCTTGCAGGGAAGTTCCCCGGAGCCCGTGATAACGGCACAGCCAGGCTGCAGGTTCCCGTTCCTCCTCACCAGCCTGTCACACTCCTGCTGCAGCTCTGGACCAGCTGCTTGTGACAGTGCCTCGGCAAGGCCACCGATGTGTTTCAAGTCTTCATTGGATGCATTTACCACGACATCAACAGGATGAGTGCACATGTCAGCTTTATAAACCGCGATTGCGACCCCCCCTGTGGTCACCTGTGCGTAGGGCTTGCCCCTGGCACTGTGCTCTTGCTCTCCTTCCGACGGTTCCTCCAGCCTGACCAGACACTTGAACTCTTGTTTTGCACTGGCGGCAAAAAAGTGTTCTCGCTCTTTGAAATAGGACTTGGCTCCTGGCTCTCTAATTACCACACGCTTATAGTGCAGGCCAGTCAGAATCTGCTCAACTAAGGTGACTCCCTTCAGCACTTCCTTTCTCGGCCCACTCAGGGATATAACTCTGCATCTGCTCTGCATGCTGAAGTTAACTTTCACACCTTTAGTTTGTAAGTCATTCCAAACATTGGTTTTCTCTTTCTCAAAAAACAGTACGACTGCCATGGGCTTTCCTCCGATGACCTTTTGTACTTGGGTATTTTCATCAACGAAGTTAGAAAGTTCCTCAAAGGCTTTTGCTACTGGTTGACAACAGCCAGCAACGATGACCGCCCCCTCTACCTGAGTGACTGTTACGGTTTCATTAGAGCAGTTTTGCTTGGTGAGCAGCCACCATTCCTTTTTCTGAAGGACTGACCTATCCTCCAAAGTAATGCTTTTGTAGTCCAGTTCCTTCTTTATTTCTTCTTCTGCTTTTATGAGATCTTCAGGGCCACTCCCTTTCAAGATGATAGCTTCTGTGCCAAGCTCATAAAAGGCATTAATTTGTTTTGACATAAACAGGCTCTGTGACAGGGTTTCATTATCAATATGCTCCAAAAACTGGAAAATGTAAGGGTGGATATTAACTGTTTTCTTTGCCATTTTGCGTATATTATCTAATATCTCCCCTTTTACCTTATAAACTTCCTCAGGCACTCCACATAGGTTAACCACCTTCTGCAAAGGATCATAACTTATCCGTAGAGCTGGGAACTCCTTACAAATTATTTCTTCAAGACTGGTGGCCTGTAAAATTGCATATTCCCCTGGACCTATTACCAGCGTTTCCTCAGTTTTTTGCTTTTCTCTTTGTATTTCTCTGGTGGCCTTTTCTATCAGAACATTCAGGTCTTGTTCAACATTCTTCACAACTTCCTCTTCACCTACTACAACAAGCATTTCCTTGGAAATACATGGGATTATCACCACTTCATCGTGGGTGAAGCTGTTTCTAATGGCTTCCCACACCTCTGCACTTACTTGACATTTAACTGCCTTGTACTTGGATATGTTATGTGAAAATGCCGCAGACACATTTTCATTCCATGTCTTGATCAATCGAGACACTAATCTCTTCTGCTCAGACAAAGCAGGTGAAGGATGTAGAGTAACTTTTGGGTCTGTACTGTGGGGATCAGGCCATGTTAGCACACAACTACACTTTGCCATTTCACAACTTATTGCCTCAGTTAGTCCATTATTTCTCTGCAAGTAAGACCAGATATACGGATCCAGAGGCACTGCAATTGGATCTGGCTGCTTTATTTGTGGCCCTTCCTTTCCGTACAGAGCTGTTCCCAGCGAGGTGTAGTAAGGATAGACAGAGATGGGTGTTTTGTTGAGTGAATGCTGCTTTGCCAAGATATTGGTTACATCTAAAACAAACAAATAAAGACCCAAGCAATTAATGCTAGCACTTAAAACCAAAGATCTTCTTGTATTTGGTTTAATAATTTTTATGTCTAAGAATAGTTTTACGTTGATTTCCCCTCCTTGCCAGTAGGAAATAATTCCAAATTATTGAAGAGGTACTGGTTTTAAATGCCAAAACTAAGTTAAAGAGGAACAGTTAGGAACCAACACTGTCCACTTCCAGGAGGAGGTTTGCACAGCACTGTCTCTGCCCCTACTTCTGCTACATGCTGTACTTGGAATGCCCAACTCAGCAGTTGTCTGAGCTATTATTACTCAGCAGCATCAATAGCTCCTCACTTCCCCCCCTCAAAAAAGAGCATCTATCTTATTCAACTTCCCTTCAGCTCTCCCCTTCACTGCAACACCTCCAGCTTCCTCCTTGTCCTCCACCTTCCCCAGATTTCACGTTTCCGTCACTGGTTGAACAAGCCACAGCACCTACTCTCTGGCCAAAAAGCTATCCTATAGTTTGTATTCAGACAGCACCCATCACCATGAGAAAGCTCTGGAGAAGTTTCCTGCACTATGTGGGGCTCTGCTTTCTCTATTGAACTCAAACCTGTAACCTAGACTCGTTAAGGATCGAGGCCTGGGTGACATAAACTGTGCCTAAAAAAGGAAAAAATTCTATGCCTCATTCCCAGCTAGTACAAACCCTAAACTTACACCCCAGGTAGCAGAGACCTGATGACAAAGCACCAAAATGGCTGTTCTATGAGGGCAAAACATTAATTTCTCTAGAAAACCCACATTTTTTTTTTGTTTGATCTTTAAGTTAAAGGATCCCAAAGAAATAAGGGCTTTGTATTCCTGCATTACCTTTATGGTCATTGAATGTAACGATAGCTGCATCTTCATCAGGCAGCTGCTGAACATCCACCACTTGTGCACCTCCATTCTTCTTATTTTCAAAGTAGACAGTTATATAGTCACTGGGTGTGTCAGGGGGTACATTTTCAGCCCTAACACTTTTTGTTAGCTCAAGGCACCGTGCAGTAATGTTTTGTTGCTTTGCTCTGTAGTTTTGATTAAGCTTTTCAGCAAATTCCCCCGCAACTAGAGAGAAGGAGGAAGAAAAAAGAAAAAAACAAACAAAACCACTGAGATCAAGCTAGTAGCTCACTTTTCTACTATCCTGGCAGACCATCACTGTGTGCACTGCCCAAAGCACTGAATTACAAACCATCTATCAGCTTGGAGCTACCCACAAAGCTACTTCTTTCCACATATTCAGTGTCTCTCACCTAGTATTCACCAGATGGTTGATCACAATTGTTGATTACAACTACTGTCACCAAAATTTGTCTCTAGTTTTCCTACTTTGGACTATGGCTTTATACACAACTAACCATCATAAGTCAACAGTTTAAATTCTGATTTTTTCTGGTTTATGATAAACACATTATTTTTGGCTACCTTTCTCGCTTGTTGATCATCACAGTAAAAGATAGCCAAGCCACGTTTACGTCTGTCAGACAAACACAAGTTTTTAAAGGATCTACTTATTTACTAAAACCCTAAGACTGGACCACGATATGAAAGGCAAATAATTTCTGACTTCTAAAGCATAGAACTGCATGCCTCCCCACAGACCAAAAGCTTCTTTGGTTTAGTTATACCATGGACTAATCCCTTCACAACTTCAAGATTTGAGCAATTTCATTCTCATGCATTACAACTATTCCCACAAAGTTGATTTCAAGTGGCATACAAATTGTTTTAAACACGTTCTACCTTCTGAAGAGGTTTACAGCTTTTCTAGACAGAATTCTCTCTTCTTTCCTGTCCTACTTCCTCACCCAGAATCAAGCACATGTAAAACCACCTTGTCACAAAAGGACTTAAGCAGGTATCTATCATTAACTTTAGTAGTGTAAATCTGCATATAAAATAACACAGTATCAGATTAAACCTTAAACCTAGGACAGAAAACATTCATTTCCTGCTTAGTCACACACACAGAGCTAAGAAAGATGTGTAACTGACTCCTCCTTACCAAAATTTCCAGTAAAAGTAACAACAGCACCACGTATTTCAGGTATCATTTCCACACTGAAGTCACCATCATCCTCTGACAAGCCACTGATATTCTCTACCAGCATAATTAACATGCTTTCTTTTACTGTCTCCTGCATGTTTTCAAGCACAACTCTGTTTGAAGGCAGGAATTCTTCAGAGTCCTCCTCTTGCCATGGCTTCACCAACAGACCAATTTTTTTCACTGAGTGATACTTCCTTTGCAAAACTTCTTGGGCATCTAGTTCCACAGGAAAACAAAGAAAGAAGTGATCTTCCCTTCCCCTCTTGCCACAGCAGAGTAACACGTTACATTACATTCTACTTTTAAAAACCTAGCCAGCTGTATTTTCTCATATCATAGAAGAAAGAGAAATGAAGACAAACCTACATCAAAAGTTAGGGTCGGGTAAAAGCTACTCCATGATCTAAATGTGCCCAGTCCCTCCAGAGGAAAAGAGAAAAAAAAAGTTTATTTTTGAGGTATGTGCTCCCTTCTTTCTACTGCCCTCAAGTGCAAGAAACTGTTCTCCAGATTAATGACATCTAATAAATAGCAAGTAAAGAAAGGGGTTTTCACCCTGTTTATCTTATGCATTTAATAAGTTTAACTATTAACTATTTAACCACATTTGACTATGTGAAATATTTAATTATTTCTCCTGTATAGACAGTTTTCTCTTTTTACATACATCCTTCACACACTAACAAGTAGCCAACAGCACTTTAGCACAGACGAAAATATAAGAACAACAGATAAATTGAGGCCACTTTGAAATAATTTTCTCCACAGAGGTGCACATTCACCTCTCCATCTTATAAGTACATGTTTACTACCTCTTTTCCTCCCAGTCTCCAAAACACTGGCAACTGAAATGAATCAAGAGAAAATACAGGAAAAAAAATAATTTACCTATAATATGCAGTTAATGCTTTATCCAGTCACCTGAACTAGAATTAAAACTTGCTTATTCTGTAGTGCTTCTGACATAATTTTTTCTGCATTATTCCCTGCGAGCCTTGACCAAGCATTTGGGATGGGTCTAGAGAACTACTTCTTTCCCTGGTGGTTATTATGAACCCACATCTGCACTGGACAGACGTTTGCTCCTTTTTTATTATTCTTTGGGAATAACATGCCATTTCTGTCGAAGCCATGCCCACAGAGATCCAGCACCAGCAAAGCTGTTAAAGGAAGCTTTAGTAATGCAACACTCACAAGATGGTATCATACCTTCCTCATCCTGAAAGGTGATGATCATCTGCTGATCCTTTCTGATGCAGGACTCAATGGCCCCACCACCTGACTTCTTTTTGTTTTCAAAGTACATTTCCAGAATCTCATCTTCTATCTCCTCCCCAGCGGCAGTGGTTACTACTATGACAGATTTCCTAGAGTTCGCTTTTTCCTCTTCCAATTTCTCACATGATTCTGAAATGAAAGATCCTACTCTGCCTTATGCGAAAGTGAAGAAAAAACCCAAGCTTACTACCTTCCAAGCTTTCACATCACTTTTTCTTCAGATCACAGATAAGATCAGGGAAAAGAAAAGGCAAATAAACAGAAGTTCAGGTGCTTTGAGTTTTTTTTTTTTTAAGTCCCAAACAAGCTGAGCATACCACTAGTGTGAGTTGTACCAACAGGCAAGGAGAAAAGGCTTCTATTCATCACCAGGCAAATGCGGCAGAAGTAATGGCTAGAAAGGCTTCTTCACAACCCCATGATGAGGAGAACCACTGCTCTTCTGCCTGGGCACCCTCTCCATTTACAGCTCCAGCCATATCTGTGGGTCTGCACGTGCTGGCTGCCCCAGGAGCACACAGCTACTGATGTACTTGTACTGACAAGCCACAGAGGTGAGCAGGGCACTACTGCAGCATATGCAGCATAAAGGTCAATGAAAACCAGTGAAGCAAGAATACACTGATCTCTGCTTTGTAAGTGGCATGCTTACCTGTCTTCTCCTGCTGAGTGCACACAGAAGCCTCCTTATTCTGGCAGGTGGGAAGAGGCACTTGATGTTCATGAACTAGAGATAAAGAGTAATGATTTCTCAGTTACTGGGTACTTCAAGAAGAAAAAGGTCACACTCTTGTAGACCTAGGAGCTAAGAGAGCTTGAATTTATCTTAATTGGACCATGCCAGAATCATAGACTACCATACTTTCCTTTTTTCAAGCCGTATATTGAATGTGATTACAGAAACACTCTTGAAGCTTAAGCAGCCTCAGGCATAACGTCAAACAAAACCCCAAGCTAGCACCGTAGCCATGCTGTGCTAAACCACTGCCAGCGTTTCCTCCCATGCATTAGGGCACTATCTGCATACAAAAACTGCGCTGTCTGACAGAAGATCTGTCGAGGACGCTCCTCCTGTGGAGGGAAGCGCCTTTAGGAACCAGGCACCTCTGTAAGAGTGTCTCTCGTGATGTATTCTGACCCCGCATCACATCTCTACCTGCTAGTTTAGAACAGAGCGGAACACAGCTGAGTTAGAGAGCCGAAGATAACGGCACTGCCTGCCGGGCTGCTCCGC